TGTGAGTTCCTGCGATTTTTTTCACAGCACTGGCTGTCCTGTTGGTCTAATTACACCGACAAAGCCAAAACAAGAGGCGTACCATTAAATCTTTATGAATATAAAGCTTTATCTTGTGGACCCCGAAAGGACGTTTTGGGTCGCACCGCACTGCCATGAGTTTGGGGACAGAGATATGGGTAACTGTCCATAAATCTCATCCCAGCTACTTCTAAGAAGAGCGGTAATGGCTGAATGATTCATATACCACTGGAAACTGTTTATGCCTCTAAGCACGTAATTCAGGGGTCGCCAACCTAGTGCCCTCCAAATGTTCTGGACTCCAATTCCCACAGTGCCTTACTGTTGGGCTTTGCTGACCCGGGCTTATGTGACTTGCAGTTCAGAACATTTGGAAGGTGCCTGGTGGCCCAGCCCGGACATGAATAATACACTATGTTAATAAGGCTACGGACTGTGGATGATGATGATGATGATTATTAATAATACGGAATGTGTTGAACAGGGAATATGCAACTGATACTGCCAATAAATCCAGTACTGTCCTGCTGACCGGGTGCTGAAAGTAAGAGTCAGCCCTGCATGCATGTTCCCCACAGCCCGCAGTTTGCCTCATCTTCCTCCTTCCCTCGTGATTCACTTGCAAAAATGGCTGGAGCTCGTTTATTTCTTTGTGGGTTTCCTGACTCTGGGTCCTCAGTGACACTGTTGAATTGAACTGGGCTCTCGTAAAGCTGCAGGAGGCAAGGACCCTCTCACCAGAAGGCCTACGTTTCCAACATGGAATCCCACAAGATCCGAAGACCCTCTGCCGAACGCTCCTTCCTGCCAATACCTCGCGGCCTTGCCGGAGTCTAGACACCGTGGCTCTGTCTACAGCTCAGGTCCCTTTATTCACATTCCTTCATTCCAAGCAACGTTATCCCACTTTTGCCAAAAAGCTTCCAGAGCCGTTTACAGGAATCGATAATTAGAGAGTCCCTGCTTTCAAGCGTACAATCTAGAGAGACATGAGACCCAAGGAAAGGGAGGGAGGGAGGGAGGGCAGAAATGGGATGCCAGAGGAATGGAAGCCGCCCTTTGCTGGAACCGCTTGTGCCAGCTTTACACTGCCCCTATTGTCATTTTGGGACGACCTGTTCTTTACTGGCCTGTTCCTCTTTTCTTTCCTCCCATCTGCCATTCCTCTTTCCCTTTGAGGAAGGTAATTTATGTCTGCGAAGTTGTTCAACGAGGGTTTTATTCTAAGCCAGTTCTTTCAAGGGTGTATAAATCTGCCAGCTTTGTTATGCTCGGAAGGCAGGCACCTTCCCTCAGTTGTATAACAGCATGGCTGAGATATTTGGCTATTTCTTTTGGTGGCTGCACATGAAGGATATGAAGGACTTCTGATGGCTTTAAAAAGAGGGCTAATGAAATCAATTTTCTCTGCAGGGGTCTATCTATAAAGCAGGGAATACGGATGGGGCTGGCCGTAATACAAGGGACCCTTTGCACATGTTAAGCATGAACTATCTTTAGTCCTTCCTAAAGGCCGAGACTGTTAGTCTAAGCCTCCCCTCCCTGCATGCCCATAACAGAAGGAGAGGGAAGGTTTGGCAGCTCCTGCCTCCTCCTCCCTCCCTCCCTCCCTCCCGCAAGTACCCTGAAATAATCTCAGGCTTCCCATGAGTGCTGAAAGCTCAAGCACCAAATCCCACACAATAAACCCGCACGGTTTACCTGAAAACAGCTAATCATGTGCAGTTGTAACAACTGTGAGGTGTAATATTTTCTGCACTCGCCTGGGTACCATGCAGGTTCCTACTGGAATTACATAGGATCCTTCCTTTTAAGATTAACTTCTGATTCGTTCTTTTGAAGCCATGAAATAGTCTTCGCCAAAGTTTATCTATGATTAACTGTGCGCTTGTCCTAAACCTGCGGCTGGAGCCATCGCCAGAGGCGTCCCAGGAACCCGGCAGCCCTCACAAAGGGGCCTATTCACACAGTTCGGCATTCACTGGGAACTTCCTTCTTGAGTGCCCGGTTTCTCATCCACACTGCTGAGCCTCCCTTCTCTCTTGCACAGCTCTTCCTCACGCTGCGCTTTTTGCACTCTGACTAAAATTTCAGAAAAGCTGTTTCTTTGGATCATTGAGAAACACCGACAGATGCAAACAAGCAAGCAAACAATTTTTTGGCAGGTTCTTTGGTGCTACTGAAGCCCTCTGGTATGTTTTTATTTTACATCTGTCTGGAGAAACAGGAAAGGTGGATTGAAGCGTGATGCTGAGTAAACCGTGGTTTGTTTCCCTCAGCCAGCCACACGTAAGTCTTACGTAGGATCACTTCAACAAGGTGTGCAGAACTCAGCCCCAGGAGTCAAGTGGGGTGGCTCCAGGGCTCCCCATGCCCCTTTCCCTCACCCAGAATTCACTGACTAGCCCCCGGGCCCGTTGGCAGCTTTCGGGCATTCTAAACGGCTGAAATCTCCCAGGGCAGTAAGAGCTGCGAGCCAAACCAGCTGGTGCTCTTTGCGTTTTGGCCTGGCCCCTTTGGCCACCAGCCCTCACTGGAGCGTCTCTTGACCTGGAATTTGGCCACTGGACCGAACGTGGTTCTGCACCCCAGAGCTTCACCATGAGTGCTAAGCAAGCATGGTTAGACATTAGGTCTGTGCCAAACAAACCGTCGTTGCGGAATCTTCCCTAGCTTTCTTGATGAGCTCACCAGCGTCTCCCTGGACATGTTCTCCAGGCAACGGGGCTTAGTTCAGCAAACAAAACCAGGACTGTATGTTTGGGACTCTAACCAGGCGATAAGCCATGTTTAAGCTAACAATGATTAAACGTTATGCCTCCAGAAGGATTGGGTCAATCATCTGAGGAAGCTTCAACAGCACATCAGTGATTCAACAGTGTTTCTTCAAACTGTGTTATTAGGGACTGTGGAAGGAGAACCCGTAACTGTTTATATTATTTATTATCTAACTTGTTTATATATAAGTTAATTCACTTGTATCCCACCTTGCCTTTGCAGGGGACATATGCACAGGGTCCCCAGGACATGCCTGAAAGTAACACTGGCCGGACCAAGGCCACCTCTCTCCCGGACCATCCCTGGAGGGTCCCTGCTCTTTCAGGGGTGAAGCTGAAGGTGGCCGAGGAGCATCTTTCTTGTAGCAGCCCAGCCCAGCCAACTCGTGGGGAGAGCTTTCCTGGCCTTTTGCTTCCTGTATCAAAACGTGGCGTGGGGGCGGCGGATAGTATAATGGGGAGGTGGCAGGAAAATTATTTCTTGTCCAGCACCTCCTTGTGAGTATCTGTCCCAGGACATACGACGCAGCAACGTTCCGGAAGACAAAAGGCTCCTGGCCCGGTCCAGGTTTGAACGGGGGCGTCCCGCCTGCCCCAGGCAAGGCGGAGGTCCTTCTGCAGACCGAGCAGGCAAACAGAATAGACCAGCCGACCTGCAGCCAAAGCACTGCTTGTCGAAGGGATGCCTCCTGGCTATAACCCGCTGCAAAGTGGCTCCTCTTGAGGAGGAGAAGGGACCGGCGGGGACCGTCACACGAAGGAACAGCCGAGAGCAGCATATGGGAAGCAGGAAAAGCCAGAGGCATCACAGCCGGGACAGCAGCCGAGAGGAGGGGGAGCGCCATCCAAGGGAAGCTCAGGTGGAAATTGCCTGGCTCCTGAAGGACAACAGGGGTGGTGCCAGGCGAACGTCGCGGGGGAGGCAGTACCACGGCTGGGTTCCTCCACAGGAGAGACCTGTTCCTCTGCATAATCTCCGAGGGGGGCTGGCTCTCGGACTCTGAGGGCCGCCAGGCGAGCACCTTCCGTGGCCTGCCTCCCTCTGGCAAACCACCTTCCCAGCACCACTGCCAGCAGGCTCCTGCTCCTGCCCGGCACTCCCGGCCTCATCCTTGCTTCCACTTGTGTGCCTGGCAGGCGGGGAGCTGGGAGCAAGCTGGACCCAGCCTTTGCACCTCCTCCTCCACCCCAATATGGGTCTGCACCAGAGCAAGACGCCGGCAGCAACGGTGAGGGGTACCGATGCCTGTGTTCCCCTCTTCTTTCCAAGCGGGGCCACGCGAGGCCTTTACCGACTGAACGCTCGAGCACGTTAACGCAAGCCAGTCAGGCTGGCTTGGACGTACTGTGGAAGCCAGGGGCAAACGGCCTGGGTACAGGCAGAATACACCCCCTTTCCCCAAACTCAAGGTGCTACAGCCCTCCTTCAAGCCGGATCCTCTTGCTGGTCACTTGGAGCGCCCGACTGTTTGGCCGGCCTGCCCTCTGCCACACGCCGGGATTTGTGGTGGCCGATCTACCCTCCTCTTCGCTAACAGGGGCACTTTGCCCTCCTGGGGTCCTGGCAGGCCAGTGAGCTTCGGCTAAAGCCTGGCTCAGTTCTGGGGGCGCTGGATCGGGGTTCCAGCTGTGCTCCTGGCCCAAGTCAGAACTGGGCCCCATGTCGCTTGAAGGCCCTTTCACAGAAGACATCGACCCAGTCCTGACAAGTGGAGGGATGAAGAGGAGGAGCAACCTTAGCGGGCTTTTGTCTGGGGGCCCCTGGCAGGCACTGCTGGGGCACATGGGTTGCCAAACTGATTCGAGCGGAGCACGCTGAGCCAATTTTGGCTTCTTCTTCACAGGAAGCCCGGACGTTTGGAAACTAGAGACAGATTCTAGAGGCATAGATTCATAGTCCTGCTCCAAAGGGTAGCAGTCCAAACTTCTGAAAACTTGCTTTGGAGTCAGTCGGGCCCTGCCTTCCACGTAATATTTCCAAAGCAGAACTCAGCCATAAAAACCCTCTATAAACCTATTCATCCATTGCAGAGCAATAAATAGCAAGGTCAGGCAGAACAGGAGCCAGAAAAATAATCCTAACCACAGATGCCGTTAATTTACTGGCCACTCCAAAAAAGAAAGAAAGAAAGAAAGAAAGAAAGAAAGAAAGAAAGAAAGAAAGAAAGAAAGAAAGAGAGGCAAGCCAAGCACGATGCTCACTTCAGGGGGATGCGTGAAACGGTGTTCAGGTTGCTGGACGTCGTCACGACCTGCAGGACTTGCTCCAGAGCTGTAAATCCCCCCGCGGCGTGAAATGCCACCTGATCTGCCGCATTCTGGATTAAAAACACAAGACACAAATGTACAAGTGATTAGTTGGGAACATGCAAGCGCAACCTCTGGCATTGGTCTTGCTAGATTTGCTCATTTACTGTTTAGTTCTATCGTTCCTGCCCCAGTTTGAGTGCAGCAAGGCACTGGGAAAGCTGGAAATGAGGCCTCCTCATCGCTTGATCACAATGTGTAAGGGGCAGAGTATAAAACTTCATGGGTGGTATAGGGGAGGGGTGGGTACCCAGCTCTCCCCAGACCCTCCTGGGGGCTGCACCGTTCCTTCCAAACGGCCAGAATCCAGTGGTGCAGCAGCAATGAAAACCAACCTGCTTTTCAGAGCCAAAGGTATCGCTTGCTTCTGAAATATGGTGGTATTTCAGAAATATGGCAGGGAGAAAAGAAGCTATTTTGCCTTAAAATAGCTGCTTTCCCCGCCCTGCTCGCATGCCATCAAACGTCAGCAGGAAACGGCGTTTTTTGCTTTTCAAAACAGGCTCTCTCCCCTCCCTGCCACAGCCCCACCAAATTTCCGAGGCACATTTTATGGCACCTGAGTGGGTGTTCTGCTTTGGCCGGGGAAGCATCAGTGCTGCGCAGAGGCGGGGCAAATCCGCGGGGCAAGTCAGTAAAGCAGGCAATGGCCATGCGGAGCGTTGCCGGACAAACTGGTGGTTCTCCGGACAGAGGTCTGAGGCTCAGCCACAGTCCGAGCTCAGCTGAGCAGCGGATTACGACGCACAGACCAAGAGGGGAGTCAGATGCCAGCGGCACAGGGGTCTGCTCGCGAGGCAGCAGCTGGGAAGCTGGATCCAAGGTGCTGGAGTGGGCAGGATGAGATAGTTCCAGCAGAGACTAGCCTGGAACAGCCAGGGCGTCTTGGGGCTCACCGCTGCCGCTCACCTGCAGTGCGCTTCGGCCCTCTGGCGAAAGCCTTATCCATGAGGAGGTCCTTGCTCCTGTACAGAAGCACTCCTTTCCGGAAGAGCCCTGCTGGCTGGCCTCCAGAGAAGAGCGCTTTCTTGGGGGGCAGGGGGCCACCCAGCCTCCGCTTCATAGGTGGAAGCCCCACACTCGTGCGGAGATGGGCCTGTGGCCATCTCCCCGAGGCCCAGGCTGCACTGGGTCTTCTTGCATGGGCTGTTCTGGGACACTCTTCATCTCTGGGGGCGCTAGCTCTCCTCTGAGGGGGATTCCTTCGCAGGCAGCATCGCAATGGGATGCAGAACAAGCTGGGGTGATGCACGTGCTCGACCCTAGAGCGAGAGTGCTGAGTACGAATTGTTCAGGTGAAGCACACAGAAGAAACCGGAGATATGGGGCAGGACCCAAAGACCTACTTCAGACATGCCCACTGGGATCTGCTGACTTTCAAGCATTGGATTCTCCATGAGGTCCTTTCGTTTCCAAAACCGTTTGCCATGTAGCTCTTTGAACAAATGCAAGCCAAATTCAGAGTCCGTTGCGTATGTAAAACATGCAGTTCTTTGGATGCTGGTCAAGTGGAAAGGAATGGAACGGAACGGAATGGAAAGGAAAGGAGTGCCTTTAAATATTCCTACTCTGTTTTGGAGAAACCTTGGCAACCACAAGAAGGAAATACCAACAAACAATTCCTGTTCGGATAAACAATCACAATCCAAGCCATGGAAAGCTCTGCTGATGACTCACTCGCCTGGAGTAGAGCTTGTTTGCTTTCAGTGTTGCCTGAACAGGGCAAGTAGCAACCTGGGTCAGGTTTGAGTAACTTGTCCAGGATACGGAAAACTGTACTAAGCTGCACATGCCCAAGGGGAATGAGGAGGTTAGGCTGGGGTTTCTGGAGTCACAAACTCCCGTGCCATCCAGAGGAGACCCCACAGTTCACGGGCTGCACACAGGGGGTTCCCAGCCTCAATCCCTGACAAGCAGAGTTAATTTTTGTTAACCGCCTGGAGAGCCTCAGCTACACGGCGGTAGAGAAATGAAATAAATAATAAAAACAGCAGCAGCGCTGGTGGATCCAGAGACAAACTAGATGCGGAAGGAGGAGAAAAAGGTTGCAGCTCCCATAATTCCTCAGCCAGCAAGGCCCAACGGTTTGTTCAGCCACAGGGTCTGTTTAAGGGCTTATCGCTTACGTATGATAAAACTTTAGAAGGGGGCGATGCATTGAAATATCGATCTTACAACTAAAGGACAACACATTGAGTCACTAAGCAAATCTTTGCTTTTAGCAATGCGCCCCTGGGGTTTTCGTAGTCTGTCCAATTCTTTTGGCCAGGCACCCACTCCGAGTTACAGAGCTGGTTCTCCGGTTTGGAGGGGGGAAAGCCCACCTGAGAGCTCTCCGATCCATCAAGGACAATTTGTGGAAGTGATCCGTCACCCCACTCGAAAGAGAGATCTCAAAGGTACTGGAAGAGAGCCACCTTGCCTGTGGTTCTGGAGCACCTAGGCCTCCAAGCTGGCTGGGAATGATGGGAACAGCAGTTCTGCAGGGCCCTGCACTGGAGAGGGCTCTTTCCACCAGTCAGACGCATACAGGCCGCCAATTAACCGTCTAAGCAAATGCATTAATTACAAGTGAGTTTTGCCTGAACAGGCCATTGGTTTTCTCTCCTCGCCTTCCACCAGTGGCCAGGCCACCAGGCTGCAGCAGAGGGAGCGGAAAGGCCAAGGTCGCAAGGACTCTCCAACGGCACAGCCTGAAGGCTCCTTGACTCTCCTCTCCACCAAAATATCCCCGACAGTGGCCGTGACGCCCACACGCACCCCCTTTCCTCCCCCTGTGCCTTCCCTCTTTCATACGGTGTTTAATAAACCACCCGTTGTTATTTTAAACAGTGAATTACTTTGGATGATATTCCAGATGGGCGGGAGGCAAATGTAAGAAACCCAAAGGTTCAGATGTATAAACTTCTTTGCCAGGATAGAAGTCTCTCTCTACAGTGACTATATTGTTCAGATCTAATTACAGACACAGAATAACGCACAAACTTTATTTTCTCTACCTGGTACAACACCTTAATGGACCTGAATCCCCCTTATCTTTTCTTGCTACGGCTGCAGTCGCAACTAATAGGATTACAGTCTCCGTTCCAATAATACAGGCTCAGCTACATGCCAGAAAAAAATGACAGCCTAACCCTGAATTACACAGCCCGGGAATCCATCCAATTATTAACTAAAGTAACTGTTATTACCTAACCTAATCAAAGGAGAAGCAGCTGTTAATCTTTGGTGGCCCTGTAGCACAGCGGCAGTCAGACTGGATGAACTGTCTTTGTACTTGACTCTCCCGGAGACAATAATTATGTCCTTTGTGATCAGGCGTGTGGGCGGGGGGGGGGGGTGCCTGAAGCAGGGGCGGCAGATGGGGAGCAAGGGCTTCCCTGGTCATCAACAAGGCAGAGGCGATCCAGTGGAGCTTGGCTCCGCTATGGAAGCGCCCTTTTCCGAATGACACCGAGCGGGTTGGAAGAGCGGGGACTAGATGCTTTTTTGCATCATTAAAAAAAAACCAAAACGTGTGTGTGTGTGTGTGTGTCCTGGATACCTGAAGGAATGCCTTATGTGCCTGCCCGCCCTTTGAGATCTGAGGCAGAGGTCCTGCGCCAGGAGCCCTCCTTGAAGGAAACAGGAGGGTAGCTACTTGGAGAAGGGCCTTCTCTGCGGTGGCACCCCAGCTGTGGAACATGCTCCCCGGGGAGGTTCGCCTGGCACCATCACGCTATTATTTTTGGCGCCAGGTGAAGACCTTTTTATTTTCCCAATAAAATTTCCTTTTTATTTCCCAATATTTTTACAGTTAATGGGTTTTACCCTTGTGTTTACCATCATTTATCAGAGGCAGTGTGTTGTATAGGGTTGGGTTTTTTTGTCTTTGTTTTTTGTTAGCCGTCCAGAAACTTTTAGTATTGGGATGGCATATAAAAACTTTAAATTGATTAATTAATAGCCCTGGGTCCCAGCTGTAGAGGTTTAGTGTCTATTATCATAACCGAATTATAATGATCAAGGCATGTACCATAATGGTAGAAGATTATGAATGGGTATCTGCCCGATTTTATTATCAGTTTGATATCTGGTCCAGGCATGGGTGAGAGTGTGGTATGGCCCAGTTCACAAAAGCCTTGGATGGTCGAGGCTTGTCGAAAGCACAGCCGGCTTGGGGTGCCCGTCCCTGACCAGACAGGCCGAGTGCACAACAGCTGGGTACGGATGAAAGAGAGAAAGGAACTGCTTTGGTTCGGACTCAGAGGGCAAGAAGGGGCCGGGATGCAGCAGAAAGGGCATGTGAAACTTCTTTGGCCCAGGGAAGCTTTCAGAGGAGGTACCAGGAGCTCCATTCCAGGCGTGCCACAGGCCCCAGGCAAAGGCAGTGGGGCCAGAGTGACCGAAGCAACACATTTGAACTTAAAGGCCTTATTGTAAGTAGCAAAGCTGTTGCAGAAGCATCTTTTCGATCTTTTAGAATAGGGGAGGAAGCCATGCAATTGCCAGGAGGTGGAGGGAACGGGTGGACGGGGACATGGCCCATGCATAAGGGACCCTAGGAAGGTTTGTTTTGACCCACGGTTAAAATAACCATGGGCTTTGGGGGAAGAGAGAGAACAAGCTGCTTGTAGTTGGCCGTGTGCCATCCGCTTCCACTTCTACTCAGCAATCCTCAGGTGGTTCTTTAGGGTTAACCTTTGGGATTTTAAGGCCCTGAATGCAGCTTTGGATGCAGCTTTGGTTGACGATACAGTGAAATACTTTAAATATTTACCAAGGTAGGATCCTGTTGAAAACACCACTGGTGATTGAGGGCTTGATTTTAACTGAAACCTTTGTTTGAAAAAGAAAAAAAAATGCACATTTCTAGTGTAGATCAGGGGATTAAATTTAACATTATGGAAACTGGCACGTAAAATGGTCCAAAATAACTTTTATTAACCACCTGGGGTTTGCTAAGAACCTAAAAGGAACGACAGACTTTGAATAGCATCCTTGAAAAATCAGCTAGCACAGTGCGAACCTA